TGACCGGCGCCAGAGCTGACAGGAGAGCGGCGCCCTTTTAATCCCCAATCAAGTAGACGACCGGCTGGCTGCTTATGCCCACCAGGCATTGTCCCTGCTAGCCGGAGGATGAGACGTCGTGTCGCCACGACACCACTAACCGTTCGAGAGAGGACAACAAAGACAGCATCTTCCTGGAAGAGACCGCGGCGGCCACCGCAAATCACCCCGCTAATTAGGCGAGCTGTGCGCTGTGCGGCAGACCCTTTGACGTACGCTATCAGGATCCTGGGAACTCTCGACTAGCGGCACACACACGACGAGGAAGAGCCCTGCTGCCGCCACCTTGCAGTGCAGTGTTCACGACTCAATATTGGACGTTCACGTGGACCGTGCATGCTCGTCCCCCTCACCTGTTGTGTGTGTGTGATTGGTGTTCTACTAGGAGAGGAGGAGCCCGACAGGGCTTAAAACGACGCCGCAGAGTGCTGGACGTCGCTCTGAACTATGTAACGTTCAACCACCACGCTCGTGGTTTGGGAAACCCCTAAGCTTTCTTGGCTGAAAATATGTGTAAATAGTGCCATAAACCTGTTTTGTTTTCGTATCCTCCAGCGACCTTCCTTCCGACCCATAACAACACTCAGTATGAAGCACTGTGAATAATGTGTGCATTATACACGTTTTGAGCTCCTGTTCAGCCACGCGCGCATGTACTGGCCGAAAATTCTGACCAGCTCACAAGCAGAACGATTTGGAGACTCTGTAAGTTGTCCTTCAACCTGTTTATCACAAAAGAAAATAGTATTCATGTCATGTCAGCCGCCTGTTTGATTTGTTGGGTTGATTGCCTAGTGTGCCCCCTTTCCCCCCTATCCCCTCCTTCATGCAGTGTCCTGTACTATGAATTATGCAAATATGAGACACAAAAAAGAAAAAGCAGCATTTGAAGCAACCAAATCAAGGTGGCACAGTTCGCTACGCCATCTTCGTCCCTGTCCTATGTACAGCAACGACAGGAAAGCCAGAACACTTCATGCCTAATTGTGTTTACCACCATGCGTGGTCACCATCGCAGCAGCAAACTACAGTTACATTTTTATGCAACACATGGGAACTACGTGGGCATAGCAGTAGTTCAGTTCTCAGTGCATGCCTTCAGAGCAGCGTGAACACTGCCTATGATCGCGTCGTTAGCAACCAGTCTTGCTCACAGCGGACGCAGCACTCAGTAGCTTCATTTTAAATTGATACAATGAGCGTGCAATGTCAGAAAATAGAAATGTGGCAAAAGCTGCTGAAAATAAGGGTTTAGAGCAAGTCTTGGGCCACTCAAAGGGGCCCTGAAACACTTTCTTGAGCAACGATAAAAGGAAAAGTGTATTGCCTCACAAATTCAACGCCGCAAAAATTTTAAGAGTCCGTCCAGTACGAGCGGAGTTACAAAAATTTGTCACATATTGCAATCGCGATCTTCCTTTTCTCGTCCTGACGAAAGCACTGGAAGCTAAGCAGTGGGGATGTGAGCGGCAAACAAAAGACGTCACTGGCGCCTCGTGACCTTGAGCACTTTTTTTTTTTTTTTAATACGCGGCTTGTTCAGTGCAATTGCACGCGCACGCGTAGACAAGTGGCGGCATGTGGCAGCGATCTCTAACAAACAAGCGCGGCATGTTCAGATCGGGCAATGGCTGATAGATAAGCAATCTGCGTGTGATTTTACCATACTTATCGCATCCCCAAAAATAGCAGCAGTAATGTCGTGTGCTCCTTACAACCACTGATGATGATAGCGCACGACATCCTGGCGTCATCTCTTAAGCATCATGCATACTATCAACGCATGGAACCTCAATTCAAGCCAAGCCAAGTCAAAATGACGTGTACACATAGCCAGCGTTGTGGCATGTTAGTGCACGTTGTGTCCGTTCTGCGTTACCGGATGGGGTGATACAGAAGCTACATGGCTGCTTTCAAGCTGAAAAAGATTGATCATGCACTAAACAATGGCAACAGGGCCGCCGGTAGGCACTTTGGAGTCTATAATTTTTGTGTTCGTTGGTGACGGCAGCACGGGCAGCTGAAAGCTACCGAGATGCGCTGGTTTTCCGTGCGTCTAACATGGATGCATTGTAAAACTTTGTTTCGTCAGAAGGTAACTGCAGACAATTCTGTGCCTAAGGCTGACGTCCTACGCTAACCTTTTGCGGGCTCTCGTAGAGTGCCTAATGCTACACCTGCAAGCTTTCAGTATGATATTCTAAAACTCTACTGTTTGCTTGCAGCTTTTGCATCTCAAATAAATCTTGCCTTGTGTTGAATCTGTAGTTTTATTATTAAGGTAAGTGTTAATAAGTACTTCTCAAAGCTTGTCAGTTGCTAGAGCGAGATTCCCAAATTGCGGTGTTGGCCATTGGCTCCAACACCTAGCGTTGGCTTCAGCACCCCCCTTAGGTGCCAGAGCCAACGGCCATATCAGCTGCAGAGGCACTTCACCCCTTAGGACAAATGTACACTGAAGTGATTATGATGAGAGCCATGGTGTTACGGGTGGTTCATTTTTATTTTATTACTTTTCTTAAATAAATAAAGCAAAGAAGTTCTAAGCGACAGGGTTTGTAAACAACGACATCAGAAGTAAGTGAAGACACCACAAATGCCTTGTCTTTTAGAATGAAATCGTACCAACTAGCTCAGCTTTCTGTTATTTTGAAGAAAATACTTTGCACAGAACAGCCATTTCTATTAAGGGTAGATGCTACTTTTTCTTTATTATTCCCCCTAGAGCAATCACACTTGAGCTGTTTATAGAACTTTGTATGCTGACTTCAAATATATAATTTAGATGTAGTGGCCACTGCCACTAAAATGTGCAAACACCAAAAGTTTGTCCTTCCCAGCTCTTTCAAATTGACTTCTCACAGACAGGGCCACGAAACGCTTGCAAAAGTTAGTCCACTACATTTGGCAAAGCCTTATGCTGACTGCAAGCTAGGGCTGAACTTTGATAGGACTTGAAAATCACAACAAAGTCCAGTGTTGAGAGACACAACAGTGCCGATGCCATTGTGGTTTTTGTGGCCGTGTTTGGGCTACGTACCATCGTACATAATGGCAATTTTGTCCCCACCAACTTCTCTCACTGTGAGCCCCTAGGCCTCGCAAGATTGAAGCAGATGGCATCCATTGCTGCATCATGAACTTTCCGCCTGATCCCTGTGAATGGCTTATGATGCATAGGCTTTTGTAAGCCAAGAATTGCTGCAAATCAGACCAGCTGCTAGTAGCCCATTCCTACAGAGGGCACGGCCACAACAGCTTCCACACTGACACCGTAGATATGGCGCAAGCTACTGCTTCTTCATCCATAATGATGATAAATGAACAAAAAAAGAGTTGTTCAGATGCGCTGCTCGATGAGTAATGGATTCTGCAAGTAGGCTTCACAGCATACACAAGCACGCCGCAGCCAATGGCGGTTTTTGTTCAGTACTATGTGATTAAGAAATCATCACAGCGTTCAGAAGGCGCAACAAAAGCGTGTTTATTTTTATCATTTCTTGAGCTGCAGCCGTGCGGGAAACAGTCATTATTTGAAGAGTGAGGCTCAGCTCTTCGCCTCATGCAATTGACAATGGCGAGCAGTAACACGCATTATCAGTGGCAAGGTGCTCGAAGACGGCACACTTTCGGCGACGGACCGAATCCGGATTTGTCGTGGACGCGGACAGCTAATCCGCGGATGGTCCGCCTGCAGGCGCATCCACACGACGGACGGTGTTCTAGGGGAAAACAGCCGGATTACCCTCGACAGCAGATTCGGCGCTCACCTGCACCCGCTGGCAGTAGACCGGTTTGAGAGTATTCAACATGGATGCCCGCAAGAAGTGAAGCTTGGCTGCAATGTCTGTCGTGTTGTGACAAATGAACGAGTAGTGTTATTCTTTCAGGAGAAAAGGGAGTTGCTAGCAGGATATTCTTTTAACTACATTATTCCCCACTTGTAAAACTTCTAAACGTGTCTCCCGCCTTTTTTTTTTTTAGAAGCGGCACGTCGCCGGTTGCAGAAGTTGGAATATTTCACAACCATGTCGACTAAGATTTTGCTAGCAGGATATTCTTTTAACTACATTATTCCCCACTTGTAAAACTTCTAAAGGTGTCTCCCGCCTTTTTTTTTTTTTTTTTTTTTTAGAAGCGGCACGTCGCCGGTTGCAGAAGTTGGAATATTTCACAACCATGACAGCTAAGATTAATTTCGCGTGTTGAGCGACGGTGGCGACATTTCCCGAACCACCAAAAGTGATTTCTGCATATTTAATCACCTGAGAACAAAGTCTCCGGAAACTAAGTAAACAATGCTCAAACGTAGATGATGCCGACCCAGTCATGCAGCTGTCCGCGAGCCATGGAGGACATGCCGCAAGCAGACGAAAAGTGTACTGGTTGCCCCCGACCCCAAGCTATTCCGCTGAAGTACCGGCTCTCCCCCGCCAGAATCCCGATGTGAGAAACAGGTTGGGTTCATCCGTCCGCGAGCCGCGCGGACGAGTCGCGGACGAGGGGAATCGCTGATGTGAGGTCACGTGACGCGCCGTCCGTCCCGCCACATCGGGATTCGATCCGTCGTCTGAATGCACCTTAAGATGCAATTTTTAAAGCGTTTCCAGTTGAATCTCGAAAAAGATTTTTTTTTTAGAACAGTAAAGGCATTAATCTTAACAAAACAGGTGAAAAAAAGTGGTAGTTTTTTTAAAAAACTTATTTTTTGAGCTGCGTCTCCCCTAAATGCACAAACGAACACTGAAAATTCTTTTCCATGTAAACACTGAAATAAAACGAGAATTTCACCCCAATTTTAATTTATTGATTTCTTTTTTATTCCCCGCCATAGCGTAACTTGGCTCTAACTTTCTTTCTTTCTCTTTTTTTTTAATGGTTCCCTAAAAACACATCAGCAGGGTTCTACTGTATTAAATTTCTGGAGCTCACTTAATAAAAAGAAACATTATAAAACTTACTGTTTGTCTTTCTCTGACCGAGAGTTATGGTAGTCAGATTTGAGCTGCTTGATGTCCACTTTGCATTGTTGTATCTGTTCTTCTTTTTCCTCCATCTGAAATAATCACATGCGACATTAGCAGTGCCATCTGCTTACAAGAAATCTGAAGTCATGTTTCTGAACAAATTCTACAGTCCATATTGTGAACAGAGATCAGATTATGTGGTGTTCCCAAACAATGAACAAAGTGGGAAAGCTGCCCACCACTCCTCTGAGTGGGTGTCTAGAATCTTAAGTACAATCATTTTATCAAGGTTTGCTACAATACTTTCCTCTATTCCCTGGTGTCACCTTTTAAATCGCAAAAAAAATACTGGAAAGGAATTTTATTAGAAGTATAGAAAACCACAATTTTTCAGAGGGCTGCCAAAAAAAAAAAAGATATGAATTTCTGTTGGCCACCGTCCCACTACCCCACAACCCACACGTTTTTGACAGTTATGTATTCCCCCCCATGGAATCAAGTTATAAATGTGTAAGGGCATCACAAAACTGGGGCACCAAAATTTTTGCTATAAAAATTGCTATTAAAAGGATGATATATGCATTCCTTAACCTTTTGAAGATCAATGACATACGTACTGCGAACAAACCCCAAACTGTTGATGCTGTACATTACTGGAACTATGTGTATGTCACACTCGCTTTTACCCTCTCAAAAGGTGACCACTTGCCCTTAGCTAATTTATTGCCCACACAAGTGCAATTTAAACTGTTCACAGGTGGAGATTAGTTTACAGTCAACGCAAAATTTTTTTCATCTTTCAAAAGACCGCAAATATCACACACACAAAAAATCACAATTTTTATTTTGCTCAGACAGTGAAAAGGGCCACAGCCCATTCAAGATGAATATGCCATAAGAGCTACTAAGAAAAGGTGGTTGTCTAACTTTAGCTTTATATCTCAACTGTTCTATATAAGATTGTGAAATTTCGCACTTTAAGAACGCCCAAGACCTTGCACCTGAAATGCTGTTGGCTATGGAAAATGTGCTATGAACCAGTGGTGCGCTGTGCAGCAGCCTGCCCATGAATCAAGCAGTGTTAAGTTGTTTGTGGAGCTTTGCAATAACAGATGAATTGCTGCATTTGATGGTGATGTTTGCATTGGAGACTCCTCCCTGTTACCAAAAACTACAAATGCTACAGCATTCCTGCGGTGACCAAGGCCGTACCAAGAAATTTTTTTCAGGAGGATGTTCATGTTTGGAACTGCTAACTTTAGCAAGTGGTGGATTTGAGGCATCTATATACAGTATAGACCACTTAAATTGCGGGAGTCACAAATATCCATACTATAAGCAGTACCGTACTATATAACCAAAACAGCCTTTTTCAAGGGCCACACTTGCGCAAAACATGTTGAGCATGCAGCCTCGTGTGTTCGAGAATTGAAGCATGCAATGTGTGGTGCTTACAACCATTTGAATTTCCGCATGTTAAGAACAAATTTTAATGACCTAAGCAATGCGTTCCCAATGAAATGAACACGAAAAGAGGGGGGTGGAGGTTGTCTAACAAAAGAAAGCATAGTCTCAGAAATTCGCTGACTACTTCCAGACCGCCTCGGTTATGAACATTACACAAAAACTATGTCAAATTATGTACCCAGTTTCCAGTGCTGAAAGATGCCAATCAGTCGATATCATGGGCGCGCACACGATTTCCAGACATCACAATCGAACTGCAAGCCACTATTCAAAAGCTACACGTGCAACCCTTGTTCTCATTAACAATATGTATCCCTTCCGGTCAAGTGCAGTACCTCAAAAAGTTTCCTTGATTCTATACAAAACTGCAACTTCGATAGTACGTGACCACTACCAAAACGCAAGAAATGGCAATTAGGCCTAGCATGCCGTTCGATATGTTGCCATGGGAAGTTTTCCCAAGACCAGAAGATCTGACGTAAAAAATCGCACTCAAGCACTGAACCAAAAAAAGCGTGCTTGATACAAAGTTCACGTGTGTGGCCGGGAGATCAAGGATGAAGACCTGCCAGGCTTATAACATAGGCAGCGCACTGAAGCAAAGCTTAAAGCTCGCGCCATGAGCCGTAAAAGGTTTTCAATTTACGGACGAGATAGCAAATGCGATATCTGTAGCATGCTCGACAATGAGATAACGACGACCCTTTACCAGACACAACACTTAAGCGTAGTTGATAAGGACAAGATCGCACGTGCCATGCTAAGCCACGCGGCCGAAGCCACGCTAGCAACACTAGTACACAGCGGTGTTGCTGCCAATGCAGACTCATCTGTCGCCAAGGCAACTGCCTTTCTTTTTTTCCGCTCTACCCTAAACTCGATCACACCGTGTCCCCCCCATCCTCCGTAACGACCTCGTCGCTCGCTGCGTCTTACGTTATTAGTGGTCTACACTGTACTTTAGTATCACCCAAAAAGTTGTAAAGCATGACAAAAAAATTTTTTTGGGGGGTGGGGGGGTGGGAGAGGTCAGAACTTCTTGAACTTCACCCGTAGTTACGCCCATGGCCGGGAACTTCACCCCAGCAGTTTCAGCGAGCAATGATGATCAGCCTAGATGCACCAAAGCCAGTTATACTCGGTTACTGGAAGGCTGAACAGAGCGCGTAACAATTTATAGCACATAAGTACTTTATATCATGAACACTGTCCTTTTTTTATGAAAGAGAAGCCACAAGCGTGTGGCCTGCACTCTGCCGCAGCTGTCTCCAGCACCATCAACCAACACCTAAAAAAAGCACATCTGCTTATAGCATCATCTAATAATAAACAAACGAGTCATGGCCATTCAACAAGCGCTGCTAGACTGCCCTCCAGCTACAGTCTCACAACAAGAGATGCCGCCTAAAGCGGATGCACTTTAACTTATTCGATGGAAGTTTCTACCGGAAGCAATATTTTGTTTTAATAGTTTTGAATAGCAAATAGAAAAGCTCTGAAAGGCAACTCTGAATTAATTAAGTTCAGCAAATTGCTCGTTTCATGTAGTGTATGATGCAGCGCTTAGAAAGAAAGTACGTGGCACAAGAGAACAATAAGTGGCGATAAAACAAGCGCTAAATTGATACCACTTTGTGTAATACAAGTAATACAAGCTAATAAGAATTTCAAGCAGATCTAGGTAGATGCGGCCTAAAAAGAAATAAACGTTAGGTAACAATTTTACCTTGCATAGTGTTCAGACTATGTTAGGCTGTTTCAATAGAATAGTGAGGTCATTCACTAGTGCACGTTTTTGTCTTTCAGCCATGTAAAATTTTTTTTGTCAACAGCTAGCTAGCGGTTACAAAGCTAGCTGTTACAAATGGGTGAGCAGCCAGACCACATATGTGATCGCCTACTTTAGTTGCAAAAATTTTATGAGACTTTTTTTGTGCTGCTCAGGCACAAGAGAAATGACGAATAGTGAAAACAGACAATACAAAACACTACCGCAGCACCAACAAGCCGATTGCTTGGGAGAGCTGCAGCGGTGCTGCGGTCACCAGCCTACCCAGCAAAAATTCTGATAGAGGTCTGAATCAGCCTGATACAATTTCCTATAAGTCCTACCAGTTTTGTATTAGACTGATACAAAGTATTATCAGTCCTTATAAGCATTCATACCAGTCTGATACAGTTTCTTACCAGTGCTACCAGTCTCATATCAGACTGATACACTGTCTTACCAGTGCTACCAGCTTTTGAGTCAGTTTGGTTGGTCATTTATATGGCATATATTAGGCTATAGATTTTTAGTCTTTTGTTCATTTATTGAATCTTCATAAAATGCATTACTATCATTTTAACAGTAGTTCTTTTTTCGAACACATTGCCCACATATATATTATTGGTAATTTCTGCATGTATATTAGTGTATCAGTGTTTTCTATTGAATACTTGGCGACCATTGTGAGAAAAATATTACGATTACTCAAACAGTGCGATTGGCAGCTTTTGGATGCGTAGAATAAAATGTACAATGTTTAATGATGGTGCATAATTGACAAACTGAGCTTTAATTATGCAAAGCAGGTTTCACTTAGATGAACGCTTTATTCTATGTGCAAATGGGGTTGCAGGTGCCAGATAACAACACAGTTTATATGCTGACAATCGTAGAAAATGTCTAGAAATTTCAAGATACTAGTGTCCATAACTTATCAGATAGCAGTATAAACATAACTTGAATCAATACGAACAAAACTTCTCATCACAGAGCAATACTAATATCACAGAGCAATACTAATATAATTTCTAAGTTTTTAGCTATAGGGCCAGTAAACATCCCGAGGCATAGAACTTCATAATCAGTGCACTACTGTGAAATGAGCATGCCAATATTGTAACGATGTTGAAGGACTCTGGGTGTAATAAAAAGTATTTATTAAAGGGCGAACATGTGCCCACAACTCAAAGGGACTATGGTCGTAGCACGTTACAGCAGAACACCAAAGATGTCTCCTTCTACTTCTTAAGAGGAGACCCAAGCGCATGGCGCACATCAGCCGGGGCCAGATGGGTTCTCGTGTTATCATCGTCTCTGCGCAACACTAGACGGCGCGCTTGTATGTCCCTGTGCGCGCGGTGATGGGCGCGTTGTTTGAATGCAGGCAATATGTCGCGGCAATATAATAATTTTTTGAAACGGCGTGGAGTTGAAAGCCTCAGGTGGTGCTGCACTTTCTCCCCATTCACAACACAAGCCACCCCCAGCTGTCTCCCCCACATAGTGCTTTGCCTTTAATGACAAGCCACTACATTAGTGCCATAATCCATACTGGATGAGATCCTCTAAAGAAGCAATTAAATGCTTTTTTGAGTGATCATTAATTGACCTCATTGTCAAAATTTAATGCTTCGCAAATCCATTGCCACAAATATTTCAAAGCAAGTTGAGGGGTTTATTGCGCACTTCAACCGTTTTCTTTTTTTTCTCGTACGCCCCAACAAGCTGCGCTGAAAACTACGGGGAGGAATGGCAGTAAAGAAATGCATTATGTCAGCACACATTATGAGCTAGAGCGTGCTGAAGAAACGCGGTAGCTTTTTCGTGTTGCCGTTCCCATGTGTGAATGTGACT